TCTGAAAAAAGAATTTAAAGTAAACACCAAAAGTGACTGTGACTTAGACTAATTTAAGTGTCATTGTAGTTTATTAGTCTTGCGAGTTGAATAAAATCATCTGAATAAGTTTATTTAAATAACATAATGGAATTTTTATAGTGCGCGCGTCAATGGTAAAATGGTATTCACTCATTTAAAGTATTCATTTAAGTTTTACTTGATAAAAAGGCAAAACCAGTGCCGTATACATGAAAATACTGGTACTATAAGAATCAACAGAACAATACTCTGTCTCAAAAAAAAAAATTTATTTGTAAGATATTTATATAGGAAGAAAAATCTCATCACAATGGCATATAAGTGCTCTTTATTAAGAATAAAATATATACTTTTAATGATATATTTTATACCTGGCAGTCATCCACCTTTGTTCTCATCACTCCTTTCATGTATTCTTTGTCCATGGTAGGAGAGACACCAAAACTATTTCCCATACATAGTATTTCTGCTTTTCCATCTGGATAAGTCACTTCCACAGATCCATTGAGAATCACTGACCAGGAGTCCAGCTAATCCAAAAAAATAAAGACAAAGCAGAAAGTAACATCATGATCATACAGCTGAAGGTGCTAGTACGGTCCCTAAAAATGAATGAGCAGATCTTCCATTTTGGAGATAAAACAAGTAACTCTATTTTACTGTTTAACAAGTTCACAGAAAAAGGAATAAAACACAGCCACATATCGACATGTTTCCATATGCCTAGCACAGAACGCGTATCATAATGCCCTTTTAGTTTGACTTTGGATATTCTTCTCTAAAATGACACAAGGAAAAAAATTTCTCTGTCCCCCAAGGCTCATGTAGACAAAATGATACCATTTTACATTGACCGGGCACTATAAAAATTCAATTATGTTATTTTAAAATAAACTATATTCAGATGTTTTTCAATCTGCAGACTAATAAATACAATGACACTTAATTAGTCTAAGTCACATCATTTGGTTGTTTACATTTAATTTTGTTTCAGAGACAAATCCTTTTAGAAGTCATAAATTATAAACACCTAATAATATCAAAAGCATCTTAAACGTACTTCTCTGTAATATGCTGGTTGCCAGTTAAATCAATCTAGTTTCACATTTGGCCTTAGTATTTTCTCTAGTCAATTATTAAATGCTTTTAAATAATAAATATTAATAAAATATCAATACTGATACTATTTGTCTTTTGCTATCAAGTATTTTCTTTTTATTAGCTATTATTTAACTAGCAAGTCATTCTACTGATTCACACTATGATAAATTTCCTAATGTTACCTGGTACATTTGACATGACTTAAGCA